ATGGTTAAAAGCTCCAACGAAAAGTTGGACCCCAAGGGGCAACATTAGCCCGGAAGGCAGGGGTCAAAAGGTCAGAAGTTTGAATTATGGACCGGACCACTGAACCTATTTAGTCTCTCATGTAGATAGTACATCACAAATATGTGGTTCAAAGTTCAAAGAGAAAAAAGGGTTCCAAGGGATTCAACATTAGCCCGGAAGGAGGCGGGTCAAAAGGCGTCAAGTTGAATTAATGGCCGGCCATAACTTTTAGGGTCCTCTCATGTGACTGTACATCACAAATATGTGGCTCAAAGTTCAAGGAAATGGCCCAGGAATGTTCAACATTAGCCCGGAATGCGAAAACGGAACGCCGGAGGGACCGTTGCGAGGGATGTTATAACTGGCTGCTGCAACCAATTGCTGACCTCCACACACCTATCAGTGACCTCACCCCGCGTGATCCCCCCCCCCCCCGCCGGTGAAGCAGAATTATTAGCTTCTCAACCTTGCTCTGATACCATGTTAAAATTGATGTATTATTGATTGATATCTAATGATTCTGTCTATTACAAATGGTTCCTTATATAGATGTAGGTGTAGTGGAGTAGGTGGTGGTAGGTGAGGAGTAGGTGAATGGAGTAGGTGGTGGTAGGTGAGGAGTAGGTGAGTGTAGTAGGTGAGTGTGTGGTAGGTGATGGTAAGTGTGTGGTAGGTAATGGTAAATTTTAACATACAATTCAGGAAATGATTGGAGGATTTATTAAACACAAGATTTTAGTTAATATACATATTTTATTCCAATCCTATAATTAATCTTATCATCCTTTACAAGGGAGAAAAATAAACAAATGCACATTATTTGTTCAAATATACTGTTCCCAAGTTGTTACATCATACCAGACAAGGTGGATCAGGCGGCCAAATGCAAAGTTGCACCCACGGGAGCATCAATTTACACGTTTTTCTCAGTTCACACCCTCCTTTCATCAGATATCAACTACCAAAAAAAAAAGGGTTCAATTATCAATTACCAAACAAAAACCCATGGTTCAGCTATACCTTTGGTTCAGTAATTGATATCCGAACCATGAGTTTTTTGTTCAGTAATTGATATCCGTACAAAAAAAAATGGTGTGAACTGAGAAAAGGTGGTCTGTGGAAATAGAATGACCGTACCCACATCCCAACATTGACCAATTTCAGTGACTGGTTCACAGATCAACTGGTTGAACCAGATATTGAACCAGTTAATACAATTTGGTTTAGGGGTTCAATCCCCCGGACTAAAACTCAGAAATAATTTTTGTATGAAATCACAAACAGACCAGATGAATGGCCGGTCAACAGCTAACTAGTCAAACATAGCATACGACAGATTAAAGTTTTGAAATAGTAATTCAAATGAGAACATACAAGAAATTAGAAAGATTTAAGTAAACCTCAGATTTTTTACAGGCTCTCTTATGATAATTTATGATGTCAGCAACAAACTAATACTTCAGATGTATGTCATTACTGATTTCTCATATTCTATGAACTGTAGAAATTAAACAAAAATATAAAAATCACCTTAGAATTACCTGGAGTACCAACACCAATAGTCTCACCAAGGGAAATTTCAAAGCATCCCATATCAAAAAGTTCTTTTGCCACGTATGCTACTTTTGATGGAGCTATTGCTCCTTCAACTGGGCACCCAACAACACAAGAAATATTACTGGAAGAAAAAAAAAATCAGATATACATATACTTATTTTGACAAAGTTTTGGAAATCATAGCAGGCTAACACCCTACAAAGTATCAAAAACAAATATTAAGAGAGAGAGAGAGAGAGAGAGAGAGAGAGTTGTAGAGTTGTTTAACGTAAGAGGTGCGCCGAGCGCCAAGGTCTTTTGGGGCCTAGGTGCGAAGTGAGGTGCAGGCTTCACCAAATTGAGACAAACGTTGTTGATTAAAGACAAGTAATTTAACATAGACATATAATTCAAGATCCAACATAGGCAAAACAAAAAATTAATGAGTTTTAAACAATAAGAGGAAGAATTTAAAAATAAATAAATAACTTACAAAAAATTAATAAGAATTCCAAAAGCCATAAAAGCAGCTACCATTCCAAATGCTAAATAGTCAACAATCAACAAAAACGCAAATATCCAACAACCACACCAATATTTTTAAGTTCAAACGTTTGACTATTAAAGGCAAAATGGAAAATAAAAGCAACTAAAATCCAGTTTTATCACACAAACGTCTTAGATAAAAAAATGCAACACACTTAATAGCTGTCTGGAATCAGATTTTAACAATATTGGCCTAGTGAATGAAAACAGGTTTTATAGGCAGAACTAGATTGAGATATCACAACTCACAGGGCAGCTATTATACGCATAATCAGCACATACATGAATGGATTGGAGACGGCAATAATCCTTTATAACATTTTAACATATGACACAGCATTAATAGAAGATAAAAGCTCCTCAATGTAAGGATAAATAGAAGGCCATAGGAAGTAAGCACACAACAAACCCATGATAAGAGATTTATATATTAATATGATAACATATCAGCCAATTATCAAATGTGGTTTTAGGATTTCGAATTTGGTTTTTAAATAGATCCAATATTGGAAAATACAACATCAAACGTTGGGGACCTCATTATAATTCCAATGCCTAAATCTGAGTTATGGTTTCTTCACACGACCTAATATCAAATGTTTCACACACACACATACAACAATCTCACTAGACAAGACAACAACAAACTGAAAATGTCAGATATATTTCCATGAAAAGGTGAGAAGTTAAGAGGGAATCACAAGACATACCCACAGGACAGGAATTGAGAGCTTTTTAGCAGCAAGCGCAACATCACGATATCGAGCAAGGCTATCTTCAATGCTACAGTTTATGTTTGACATCGAAAAAGACTCAGAAGCTGCAGCAAAGATGGCCACTTCCTTAGCTCCAGCTGCAACAGCTGCCTCAAAACCCTGAAGAAAGGGAAACAAAACACTAAATATGCTTCCTAGACAGATTAAAAATTGCTGTGCAACAGAATGGTCAGCTGCAAAGGGAAACTTACTTTAAGATTAGGTGTTAAAATAGGAAACCTAGCTCCCTTAACACACTGAATTGCCTCGAGGACATCCTTGGCATCTGCTAGATGCAATTTTGATTATGATACTTTTAAAAGAATATATTTTACTCCAATTTTTATCAAACTGCTATATATTCCTATCAAAGACAGATAAAGAAACATTATAATCTAGAAAAGAAACCCCACAGATTGCATTAACTGTAACTATAATATGTCTGGAGTTGGTATTCATTCATAAGGCATTGTAATCAAATGAAGCCAATAAGTATTACAAGAGGACTTAAACTAACTAAAAGGATCAGTAGAAGTCAAAACATGGGTTAAAAAATAAAAATAAATAAGAGTACAAACTAACAGTAGATTCAATTAATTATGATTTATTACCATTCATGGTCATCTCCTTGATGTTGAGCTTTCTGTAATGTGAATGGTGAAAATTTCATAGGTTCATGCTCAAGCAAGCTCAGAAGCATGGACACACCTACTAGGGTGTCGTGTTTGTGTCCTGCACATGTCGGATACTGACCCTTCATACACACACCATGTATTAGACACACTTTCAAAGTTATCCTATTACAACAACCAATCTGTTTGTCAACAGTTAAGTACTATCTGCTCCCAGCACAGCGGTGCAAGTTCGAGTAACAGAAATTGATCTCTCCCCCAAAAAAAAAAAAAAAAAATAGAGGAAGAAAAAGAGAGTAGGTGTAAGGCTACCCACCAACCTATAAACATAGTAATAATCTCTTGAAAACAACTGAACGCAATTTACCTGTGGTACTCATTTTGGCGAAACAAAACTAGTGGCCTCAACAACAGGCAACCGAGAAGAAACGAGCATCTTTATCAACTTAATCTTTACGGAGGGAGGTACAATCTCCTTCTCATTTTGTAACCCATCCCTTGGAACAACTTCCACTATCTTCACACATCTTCGTATGGTTTTCAGAAACTGCAAGTCGTATACAACATTAGATCATGTTGCCTCTGCATTTGAAAAAAAAAAAATGAGAAAACAAACTGATGCAAGACAGTCTTGGCTTGTCAAGTTATATGGCACTACCGCCATCAGAAGTGGTGAGTTAAATTTCCAAAATAAGGAAAGAAGGTTCAATGTTTGTGAAACAGTGAATTTCAAACCTTGGGTTTAGATTTTGGTAAAAAGCACTATCAATGTTGATTATTTTATTAAGAAGCATCCAGAAAACTAAAAAAGTAATTGACAGAGGAAAGAGAGAAATGAAAAGTTCCATGACCATCTTTGAACAAGAAAAATCATTCAATTAACTCTAAACTCACTCTACATCAAGGACATTACTTACAGATTCTAGAACAGTTTAGTGCAATCCAGAGGCAGTACGGTTACAACTGTTTCATGCTCTAGTCCTATCATGTGTCCACCAAAATATTTGTAGCCATTGGTCCACTTTTTTTGTTGTATTTTATTTTATTTTTAATTTGGTCCCTAAAATATCAATTTTGAGTCTAAATGCTCTCATACTCACATATTAAATTGGAGAACAGATTTTAACACTAGAGGGACGTTGTAGACATCTAGACAAACATAAGTAGGCAAAGAAATCCATTGCCCAAATCAAGCAACTCACAGTCAGGATCTAATTATGATTCATCAAAATCAGTATACTCATTCATTATAGTTGGGTAGCAGAGTTGGTTTGACAGGTTTAAAATCTTCCACAGGTCAATCAACAAATCTCTGCTCAGTGCTGAAATTGAAATTGTATGTGAACACAGTGTTGTGGTTCTCAGTGTCCCAAACCACTTGTTCTAATTTTTTCATTTCACAAACTTACCAAGCTTATAACAAATCTAATCAAGATTCATTGCTACATTAATATTTCTAATATGCTAATTCATGTTAAGAGGACATCCATGTTTTAGTGATGAACTCAGCAAATTCAGTATTACTACACTGAGAGAAACACCAAAGAGATATGAATTGTCAAAAATGGACACAATTGTGGTTTCTACAATCTTATTGTGAGTTCTACAACGGATAACAATGCAACGACTGCATGTCGCCAAAGTCAAATCTTAATCCCTAAAGTTTGTTCAAAAGTTTAACCCTTTTTTTTTTTTTCTTTGATTTATGAAGACGGAAATTTTGCATTTAACTTATAATAATTTCATTAATATGCATTTACCTAAGAGAAAGTAAAGCTATATATACATACATATACATCAAAGACAGATTTGGATGAATTTGAATCTGAAAACAGAGATGTTCTGATGATAATAAGAACATTGTTTCTACATAAAACACATTGATTATTTTCCTTTCCATGGATTGGTGGGCACATCATCGGAACAATGTTCTTATTATCGTCGGAACATCTTTGTTCCATATCTAAGTGAAACTTCATGGATTGAGTAACAGTAATATAAATTGCTCGAATGAGAATTGTATTCGGTGCACACATACATAAATCAATGAGTAATAACGAACAACTAATTCATTCTTCTGCTAATTGTATAGTAGGAACAAAATGCACATAGAAATTCAAATAGTTGATTGATGGCTGATCAACTCAAGAAGGAACAAACAGTCATTTTGAGTCGTTAAAACCGCATAAACTAGATAGTACTCACTCAAAAAAAAAAAAAAAATCTGCCAATTGATTTGTCATGAGAAGTTATATTTCCGAATTTCATTACCAATAAATCTAATTCAATATATACATCAAGAAACTTTAAAACACATATAGAATTGTATAGATTTGGAGTCCTAATTCCTAGAATTCGATGATCCCTGTCCCAAACCATGTATGTAAACACAAGCTATGTGGGCTACTAGTTCATGCAGTGCAGAAAGTAACAATGTCACCACTACTAGGATGCGATCTATGGCGAATTGTGGCTTCTCCACCGCTCAAGTCACACAAGATGCGGCGCTGATGAACACAACGATGATAAGAAGTCGGCCTTGCACTAGTACTAGTTCCCTTCTTCGCCTCAATAACCTGAAAAGTGCTCACCAACACATGAGGCTCTCTTTCGGCATCTTCATCAGGACGAAACATAAGTAGGCAAAGACATCCATTGCCCAAATCAAGCAACTCATAATCAGGATATGGACACTTGTGATCATAGTACAAATCAATCAAAAAATCCAAATCAACAGAGTCAGCATCTGAGTATGCTGCTTCATCAAAAACTGGAGGTGGTAGGTGGAGTGAGTGTATGGTAAATTCTAACAGTTTAAGATCTTGCACACGTCGACCAACAAATCTCTGTTCAGCGCTGAAATCGAACTCGTATTCGAACACAGTGTTGTCGTTGTCAAGGTCAAAAAGAGGAATCCCAAACCACTTGTTGGAAGCGAACACAGCTCTCCCACGAAAAGGCAAAAAGTCACCGGAATCAACATGAATCCAAATCCCCATCAACACATCGTACAAGTAAATGCCATACCTTCCTTTGCTCTGAATTGAAACAATGATCTTGGTATCGTTATCAACAACTGCGTGAGAGATTATTTTGCAATTAAAATTGATTTTGGGAGCAGAAGACCAATAACAATCATTAATGTAGTAGAATGGAGGCGGGGTACATATTTTCCATTGGCCTGAAATTGGATCGAGTGACTCGAAACAAGGGCTCGGGTTTTGGCCCAAGAACGAGACGTCGGAGAGGACGTACAACTTTCCTACGGCGGGGAAAACGAGGGGTTCCCACTTGGCGCCGTGCATTGGCGGCGCGGTGGTGATGCGACGCCGACTTGTGTCGAACACGCGAACATCACGAGACAAGATATTAGGACGAGTTTCGCAACCACCTCCAATTAGATAAAACTTGCTGGGAGATACAGGAAAAATTCCCATTCCGACTTGTGGAAGCTCAACACGTTTGAATTCATGAATTTTTCCGTGAGAACAGTCGTTGCGAGTACTCGTGTCGATGGAAAAAACTGAATATGAAATCGGTCCCTCGTCATAATGATACCAAATATAAATTGTTTTTGATGTACGATTTTCCATTGCAAGAGAGGGAGATCGATCGATCGATCGATCGATAGATCGAGCAACAGAGGACAGGAGAAGAGACGCCACCAAGGATCTCTAGAGCGTTTGGCAAGGAAAAAAATAGTCTACTTTATCCTAAAATTCACAAAAACGTAAAATAAGTTAGCAATTCATCCCACTAAAAATATAACCACTAATAGTACTAATGCATTAAAAAAGTAAAAAAAATAAAATAAAAATATAACTCCAAGACCAAAACATCACATCATTAATGACGGGACCCACTGCCACCTAATTAGTAGGAGCACTAAAGCATTTTTCATAAGTTAAAATAGTTAATAGAATAAAATATCACATCAAATTCATAATTATTTTATTTTTTTCTCACAAATATCATATTTAATTACAAAAAAATTTAATCTTCTCAAACATAAAACTTTTAACTTACTAAAATAATTAAAAACTAAAATAGCCTACTAAAATAGCAACTTTCTAAACGAAGTCATTGCGTGGTTGAAATTTAATGCTAAAAAATTAATGTGATTTGTCATTAAATTTTAACTATATAATGTATCAATTTAAAAAAATTTTAAAAAAAAAATTCTAGAGAATCTTTGTTAAACAGACGCAGGTTAAAAACTCTCTCTCAAAAACTTGGTTAGAGAGGATCTACAGATAATGGGGCTTATATACGGTTCGTTTAGGTCTAAACCATCTCTCTTTCTCCTTCCTAATTTTAGTTTTATATTATGGGACATTTGGGAAGAGGTTAAAAAATTAATTTTTTGACTTTTTAATTTTTTAATCAAAAAAATAACTTTTTTTACCCAGAAGGAATTAATTTTTTACCAAAAAAAAATCATTAAAAAAAAGTTAAAAAGTTTTTAAGCCTCCGTTTGGGAAGTGGGTTGGCTTTTTGACTTTTTGGCTTTTTAGCTTTTTTGGCTATTTTAGCCTGGGCTAAAAAGCTTGGTTTGGGAATGACTTTTTGGCTTTTTTGACTTTTTTGTGAGAGAAGAATGTAATGATTATAGGTTGGATGCATACAGATTTTATACAAGATAATTAAATATATATATATATATATATTTGTAAATGATTCATTTTAAAAATAAAATTATCATATAATTTATTTTGTATTTGTTCATCTGTATGTTATTTAAAATGTAATGATCTTTTTTTTAATGAATAATACTGAAACCTTTTTAGTTATAAGGTTGTGTTTGGTTTAGTTTTTAGAAAAAAATTCTAAAAAATTAAAAATTAAATTGGTGAAAAAAAATATATTAAAAATTACAACAGTCCCAACGAAATTTCTTTTCATAAAATTGTAGGCTCTATTTGGATGTGATTATTAATATGGTGAGATGGAGTATTAAGGTTTTTTTTATCAATATGGTGAGATGGAATATTAAGTTAGTGATGTAAGATATTAGTTAGTTGTCAATTGAGATTAAATTTATAAAATTACATAAAATTCTTCATTATATAAAATGTGATTTTGCAAATTTTATAAAGTAAGAGGTAAAATAGTGTTTTTACCTTTAATCCAATGATATTAAATTTCAATACTACCTCCCTCAGGTGCGAATCCCCTCCTTGCAAAGATTTCATTTAGTGTGTTTGGTTTGAGTTTTTTGGATTAAATTTTTTGAAAATTGAATTTTTTGGTTTTCGTCTTTTTTTATTTTTAGTGAATATTTTTTAAATTTTAAACATTTTTTTTACTTTTTTAGAAGCACCTTAGTTAGATGTATCTAAAAAGTAAAAAATTTGTGAAAAAATATTTTAAAAAATTAATAAATACATAGAAATATAAAAAATGTACTGAATTCTTATATTTTTTTGTATTTTTGATATTTAGTGAATTTTTAAAATATTTTTTTTACAATTTTTTTACTTTTTAGGTATATTTATGTTAAGTGTGTCTAAAAAGTAAAAAAATTACTTAAAATATTAAAAAAATTCAGAAAAAATAAAAAAAATACGAAAAATAATAAAGTAAAATTTTCTAAAAAATATTTTCTAAAAAATGAAAACAAGCAAGCTTGAGACTCTAAATTCCATGACAATTTTTCAAAATAAACATAATGTTTATGAGCCTCATATCACTCACTTCCAATCTGATCCTATCCTTTATCTCTCACAACGAACAGACAGGTCCACAAACCATTCAAATCCATCTTAAATCATTCAAAGGCTCCGTTTGATATAGCTACTAAAACAGATTATATATTATAATTTAACAAATTTTAAATTATAATTTTAATTAAAAGTTATTGATCTGTTTGGTATAGCTATTGGATTATAGATTTAAGTTACTGGGTAGTGTTTGTTAAATAAGTTGTGAAGTAACTTTTTGATTAACTTTTATTTTTTATTATTCACTACTTGTCTACATTTCTCATAAAAAATAATAATAATAATTTATAGTCCATTTGGATCTTTTTTTACTTTTAAAAAAATAAAAAATAAAAAAATCTAAGAGTATAATCGAAAATTAAAATGTCCACAGCAGAAACTAATAATCAGAAAGAAAGGATGAGCAGTTTCTCATAATCAACTTTTTTGAGTTAAAATAAATTATTAGAATCAGAAACTGTTTGCAATAAGTTTAACCAAACAGTCCAAAATAATTTTTCAAAAACTAAAAATTATAAATTAGCTCAAAAAAACCCGAACAAATACCCCCAAAGTTATTTATGGTTACTGTGGGGATGTATTTTCAGGATACCAACACGTGGCATGGTGACGCCGACGTGTCAGCCGAGGTGCCACGTGCCCTGGTAGTTAAGCCGAGGTAATATCGGAGAAACCGAGGTCATCTCCGAAGATGTCGGAGCCCGAGATAAGAGGCGAGAATCCTAAGGCAAAGGGGATTGAATCAAGATAAGGATTAAACTCTTAGGGAGTTTATCTCTATCACTTAGAAGAGTCCAGAGTAAGCAGTGAACTAGAGTTCATAGAAGTCATACTTCTAGTGGGACTTGGATTGAGTATATTATAAAAAGAGAGGCACCATCGAAAATTAAAATGTCCACAGCAGAAACTAATAATCAGAAAGAAAGGATGAGCAGTTTCTCATAATCAACTTTTTTGAGTTAAAATAAATTATTAGAATCAGAAACTGTTTGCAATAAGTTTAACCAAACAGTCCAAAATAACTTTTCAAAAACTAAAAATTATAAATTAGCTCAAAAAAACCCGAACAAATACCCCCAAAGTTATTTATGGTTACATTCATAAATCATTTAAATCCATTCAATTACATTAACATTTAAAAAAATGCTAGAGACCTCAAATATTTTATCAAATGTCTCCTATGATGTGAGACCCACGCCATATAAGTCTCACACCCATACGAGACATTTGATAGAATATTTAGTAAAATATTTAGAAACCGTAACATTACTTTTATGATTACATTCATAAATCATTTAAATCCATTCAAACACATTAACAAATCATTGAAATGCTATGTTTTGATTCAAATCCATGAAGATAGAAAGTCTCGCATTTATCTATAAATAAGAAAATAAACCGGGCAATACATCATCAACATATCATTTTTCTCTGTTTTGAAATTGAAATAGCATTTTCTCTACACAAAATGGCATTTTTCTCTCAAAGGTGTTTCTTGCTTTTTCTCCTTCATGCCATCCTTGTAGCATCATCAACCCAATCCTCTGCTTCAACTTCACAGAAAAGTGAAGATTTGATTCGCCAAACATGCAAGCGCACGAATAACTTTAACCTCTATGTCATATCCCTAAATTCAGACCCTCAGAGTTTGAATGCAGATGTCAAAGGGCTTGCTCGCATCAGTCTTCAACAACTCCTGACCAAGACAAATCAAACATTACAGAATGTGGGAAACCTGTTTAAGGACACCAGGGTCCCTATAATGTTCAGATTACTAGGAAATTGTATTATAGAATACAACAGAGCTGTAACAGATTATCTAGCAGGAGCAATCAGTGCTTCGGACTCCAACAACTACGGAGCATCAAAACAAGGTGCAGACGATACTGCAACATCTTCCACGACGTATGGAGATCAGTATATAAACCGCGGCTTACCACAGGCATCGGTATCCACACAGAGCAAACAAGTGCAGGGTCTTGCCATGGTGGCCTCAGGCATTATCTCTACATTGGGTTGATATATTGATTTGTGTACTCTTTTTC